GTGGCAGAGCACTTCCAGGGTGTGGCCATGGGTAGGGTGACATGCATCCCAAGTAGCAGGGTCAGGCACTGGGAACCCAGTCTCTGGCCCCAGGGCCAAGCCTGGGCATTTGAGAGACCCTTTGCCTGAAGGTCCTGGCTCTGAAAGGGTAGGAGGAGAGCCCAGCGTGGGAGGGCATGTTGAGAATTAGGGACATGGTTTCATTCTCCGCAGGCCCCTCCCGGCGCCCATCTCTTATATCAAGGTAATTCTTCCTGGGGCTGGGTGGACAAGTGTAACCAAAATGCAGGATGGGGACAGGAGGGAGCCTGGGGTTTCTGGTAGAGGCAGCCATGAGTGCCTGTGCTGGGACACATATCCATCCCGACCTTTATCCTCCCTGTAGTGACTCCAACAACCTAAAACTCAACAACGTGCGCCTGCCACGGGAGAACATGTCCCTCCCGTCCAACCTTCAGCTCAATGACCTCACTCCAGATTCCAGAGGTATATATAGGGCCCTGCTCTTTGCCTCTGCTTAATCTCCAGAAGTGCTTCCGAGAAAAAGAGAGCTTGGTGCTTGGGAGGGGCGAGGCCCCACCAGGCACGCTCCTGTTCCTGAACACTGCCCTCTTTGTCAACCAGCAGTGAAACCAGCAGACCGGCAGATGGCTCAGAACAACAGTCGGCCAGAGCTTCTGGACCCGGAGCCCGGCGGCCTCCTCACCAGCCGAGGTACTGGGAAAGGGGCCTGCCACCCTCCTCCTCTGTCCCCCAGCCCTGTGCTTATGCCAAAGGCCTCCAAGTGCCCAGGAGGCAGAGAAGGTTCTCCCAAATTCCAAGGAACAAGCGTTACTGAGTCCCTGCGGGCTTCTTTGATCCTGCAGGTTTCATCCGCCTCCCAATGCTGGGCTATATCTATCGAGTATCCAGCGTGAGCAGTGATGAGATCTGGCTCTGAGCCGAGGGCAAGACAGGAGTATTCTCTTGGCCTCTGGGCACCCTCCCATTCCTCCAAGGCATCCTCTGCCTAGCTGTGTCACCAACGTGAAGAGGTCATTGCCACTGCCACTTTTGCTTGCCCTCCTGGCTGGGGTGCCCTCTATGTCATGCATGTGATGCATTTCACTGGGCTGTAACCCACAGGGACACAGGTATCTTTGGCAAGGCTACCAATTGGACCTAAGCCCCTCATGCTGACTCAGGGTGGGCCCTGCATGTGATGACTGGGCCCTTCCAGAGGGAGCTCTTTGGCCAGGGGTGTTCAGATGTCATCCAGCATCCAAGTGTGTCATGGCCTGCTGTATGCCCACCCCAGTACTCCACAACACCTTGTACAGTAGGCATGGGGGCGTGCCTGTGTGGGGAACAGGGAGGGCCCTGCATGGATTTTCCTCCTTCCTATGCTATGTATCCTTGTTCCCTCAGGTAAAATTGAGGACCCTGCTAGCTATGTAGAACCAAATTGCCCTTTGTACAGGAACCAACCCCTGGCCCAGGGGCACTGGCCAAGCACAAGTCTTTTTTGCTGCACACCTCTCTGCTCTTCTCTGCCCCTTCCTTCACCCCCTCCTCCAGAGAATTCTAGGTTACATGTTGGACCTTCTCTACTACTTCGCTGGGCACTAGACTTTTCTACTGGCCTGTGCCACCGCTCAGTATTAGCACAAGTCAGGGAGGAAGAGGCAGGCGATGAGTCTAGTAGCACCCAGGACGGCTTGTAGCTGTGCATCATTTTATTACAGTGTTAGCACTTTAAGCACATCCCCTAGGGGAGGGGGTGAGTGAGGGGCCCAGAGCCCTCTTTGTGGCTTCCCCACGTTTGGCCTTCTGTGATTCACTGTGAGTGTCCTGAGCTCTCAGGATTGATGGTTTTCCTCTCAGCATGTCTCCTCCACCATGGAACCCCAGCCCCGACCAACCCCTGGTTGCCCCATCAGCAGGAAGGTGCCCTTCCTGGAGGATGGTTGCCACAGACACATAGTTCAACAGTGTGGAAGCTTTAGGGGGACATGGAGAAAGGAGGAGACCACATACCCCAAAACGACCTAAGAACGTTTTAAAAGGCGACCTGTAAATGATTGGAAATTAATATAGTACAGAATATATTTTTCCCTTGTTGAGATCTTCTTTTGTAATGTTTTTCATGTTACTGCCTAGGACAGTGCTAAGCACACAGTAAGTTTAATAAACTTGACTGAATTAATTTACATATCTCTGCTTCATTTCTTCTATTAATATATTTTTGGTTTTGTTTTGTTTTGTTTGAGATGGAGCCTCACTGTATCACCCAGGCTGGAGTGCAGGGGTGCGATCTTGGCTCACTGCAACTTCCGCCTTCCAGATTCAAATGATTCTCCTGCCTCAGCCTCCCAAGTAGCTGGGACTACAGGCGCCTACCACCATGCCCAGCTAATTTTTATATTTTTAGTAGAGATGGGGTTTCACCATGTTGGCCAGACTGGTCTCGAACTCCCGACCTCAAGTGATCCGCCCACCTTGGCCTCCCAAAGTGCTGGGAGTACAGTTGTGAGCCAGCGCACCCAGCCTTCTTCTAATATGTTTTTTAAATGAAGTTTTCCAGTCTCAGAGTGGAAAAAAATATGGCAAGCACCTGTATATCCACCACTCAGCTCTGACATTACCAAATTTGCTTCAGAAAAATGAATAATATTTATTTAATTACACTGTTCCCAGTGGCAGGATTGGCATCTTCTATTTCAGGAGTGCCGAGTGGGGGGCTCTTGGCTATAACCAGCATCTCATTCTCACTTGGTCCATACCACTCAGCTGCTTCTTCCCACCTCAGGACTGGGCTAAAGTATACTGAGCCCCTTCGTCCTGCCCATGCGAACAGAAGGCTCAGACTGGGCTGTGATTTTGTTTGGTACAAAGTTATGAGGTTCATTGAAATTTTGTTACATATATATGTATGTATGTGTATATACAGAGAGCTCGAGAGAGCACACGTGTGTGTGTCTTGCTCTGTCACTCAGGCTGGAGTGCAGTGGTGCAGTCATAGCTCACTGCAGCCTTGAACTCCTGTGTTTAAGGGATCCTCCCACCTCAGCCTCACGAGTAGTTGGAACTGCAGGTGTGTGCCATTGTGCTCAGCTAATTAAAAAATATCTGGAGGGACTGGACACGGTGGCTTACGCCTGTGATCCTAGCACTTTGGGAGGCCGAGGCGGGTGGATTGCTTGAGCGCAGGAGTTCGAGACCAGCCTGGGCAACACGGTGAAACTCCATCTCTACTAAAATACAAAAAAATTAGCCGGGCATGGCGGCATACGCCTGTGGTCCCAGCTACTCGGGAGGCTGAGGCAGAATTGCTGGAACCCAGGAGGCAGAGATAGCAGTGAGCCGAGGTCACGCCAATGCACTACAGCCTGGGTGACAGAGCAAGACTCCGTCCTTAAAAAAAAGAAAAAAATGTGTAGAAAAACTCTATTGCCCAGGCTGGTGTGACATGTGTATAATATGTAGTAATCAGGTTAGGATATTCAAGGTGTCCATTACCCAAGTACAATACACTTTTGTTAACTATACTCACCCCACTCTGCTATCAAGCATTGAATTTATTCCTTCTAACTATATGTTTGTACCCTTTAACTCACTTCTTTTCTTTATCCCACATTTTCTTTTTTTTTTTTTTTTTTTTTGAGACGGAGTCTTGCTCTGCCACCCAGGCTGGAGTGCAGTAGCCGGATCTCAGCTCACTGCAAGCTCCGCCTCCCGGGTTTACGCCATTCTCCTGCCTCAGCCTCCCGAGTAGCTGGGACCACAGGCGCCCGCCACCTCGCCCGGCTAGTTTTATGTATTTTTTAGTAGAGACGGGGTTTCACCGTGTTAGCCAGGATGGTCTCGATCTCTTGACGTCGTGATCCGCCCGTCTCGGCCTCCCAAAGTGCTGGGATTACAGGCTTGAGCCACCGCGCCCGGCCTATCCCACATTTTCTTTACCCATTCATCAATTGATGGTCACTTAGGTTGATTCTGCATATTTGCTATTGTGAATTGTGCAGCAATACACATGCAGGTGCAGGTGTCTCTTTGATATTTTGATTTCCTTTTTGGAGATACCTGGAAGTAGGATTGCTGGATTGAATGGTAATTCTATTTTTAGTTTTTTGAGAAATCACAGGCCGGGTGTGGTGACTCGTACCTGTAATCCTAGCACTTTGGGAGGCCGAGGCAGGTGGATCGCTTGAACCCAGGAGTTCAAGACCAGCCTGGGCAACATGGTGAGACTCCCATCTCTACAAAAACACAAAAATTAGCCGGGCATGGTGGCGTGTACCTGTAGTGCCAGCTACTTGGGAGGCTGAGGCAAGAGGATCACTTGAGCCCAGGAGGCGGAGGCTGCAGTGACTGAGATCACCCCACTGCACTCCAGCCTGGGCCACAGAGTGAGACCCTGTCTCCAAAGAAAAGAGAGAATCCCCATACGGTTTTCCATAGTGGTTGTACAAGTTTACATTCCCACCAATATAAGAGTATAAGAGTTCCCTTTTCTCCTCATCCTCATCAATATCTGTAATTATTTGTCTTTTTTTTTTTTTTTGAGACAGAGTCTCTGTCACTCAGGCTGGAGTGCAGGGGTGCAATCTCAGCTCACTGCAACTTCCACCTCCCAGGTTCAAGCGATTCTTCTGCCTCAGCCTCCCCGGTAGCTGGGACTACAGGCATGTACCACCACGCCTGGCTAATTTTTGTATTTTTAGTAGAGACGGGGTTTCACCATATTGGCCAGGCTGGTCTTGAACTCCTGACCTCATGATCTGCCCACCTCGGCCTCCCAAAGTTCTGGGATTACAGGTGTGAGCCACCATGCCCAGCTTTGTCTTCTTAATCATAGCCATTCTGATTAGGGTAAGCTCATTGTGGTTTTGATTTGCATTTCTCTGATGATTAGTGATATTGAGCATTTTCTCATATACCTGTTAGCCATTTTTATGTCTTTTTTTTTTTTTTTTTTTTTTTTTTTTGTAGTTAGCTATTTAATGAGATTCTTAAGACATTTAGAACACCAATTTGTGAGGATAAATTCCATTCGTCAGGGCAAACACAGATCCAGGTAGCCCTGGAGCTGAGGAACAGCTTTGATTTTTGGTAGAATTTGTGAGTCCACAGCTTTCTGATCAATCTTGTGCTGCTCTGTAATCTCGTATTTCTCTTTTTCTGTGTCGAAGATCTCACCTTCCTGGTGTCTGGGCTTCCGTAGCTGCTGCTTCTTGAAGTAAGCATCAGTAAGATGTTTTGGGATTTTGACATTGCTGATATCGATTTTGGTTGAGGTGGCAATGACAAATTTCTGGTGTGTTCTTCATAGAGGAACTCGATTGAGGACCAGAGGTCCAGTCACAAGTAACAAGCCACTAGCCAGCTGCTTCAGGAAAACCACCCTCTTGCCCCTGTGGCGTCCAGTGAGGATGATCAGAACGGTCCCGGGGGGAATGCTGGCTCGCAGTTTTCTCACGTGCTGACTGAAGGGTTTTTTTGCCGTGGCTCAACAGCTTTCGAGGCACATCTTCAGTAGGATAGTATCTAGGCATTTTGCGAAGTTTAACCACCCAGGTACCACCATACTTGTCACCACCAACTGGTTTTGTAAGAGTTGCAAGAACCTTCTCCTTCTTTTTCATTTCAAGCTTGGATTTAGCGGCTGAGTACTTCTTCTTGTACATGGCCTTTCTGGAATACATGGCAGATCGGGAATACCTGCCAATTCCTCTGACAAAGACGGGGTTGCGGCTGCAATGGGGCTTCCCCTTCTTGGGCTTCTTAGCCTTGAGGTTAACCTTTTTCACCTTGCCACCAGCATCAGCCTTCTTGGCTTCGGGTTTCTTCTCTTTAGTATCTGGCTTCTCAACTTTTTCACCCGCCATCTTGCAAGATGGGAAAGAGCCATTTGTATGTCTTCTGTTGAGAAATGTTGGCCAGCTGTAGTGGTTCACGCCTGTAATCCCAGCACTTTGGGAGGCTGAGGTGGGCGGATCACGAGAACCTGGGAGGTGGAGGTTGCAGTGAGCTGAGGTTGCACCACTGCATTCCAACCTGGGCGACAAGAGCAAAACTCTGTCTCAAAAAAAATAAAATAAAGCATCCATGTTGTCGCACGTGTCAGAATTTTGTTCATTTTTAAGGCTGAATAGCGTTCCATTCCTTACATATACACATTTTGTTTATCTGTTTATCTCTCAATGGACATTTGGGTTGTTTCCACCTTTCGACTATTGTAAACAAGATTACAGGTGTGCGCCGCCTTGGCCGCCCGGAGTGCTGGGATTACAGACCTGAACCACCATGCCCAGCCGGAAAGACTTTTTATTACGGCTTCCATGTTGTTCCTTGTTATTGGCCTGTTCAGCTTTTGGATTTCTTTATGGTTGAATCTTGGTAGGGTGTACGTGTCTAGGAATTTATCCATTTCTTCTAGATTTTCCAATTTCTTGGCATATAATTGCTCATAGTAGCCACTAAAGGTCCTTTGAATTTCTGAAGTATTGTAATGTCATGTCTCCTTTTTCTTTCTTTTTGAGATGGAGTTTTGTTCTTGTTGCCCAGGCTGGAGTGCAGTGGCAACCTCTGCCTCCTGGGTTCACGGGATTCTCCTGCCTCAGCCTTCCGAGTAGCTGGGATTATAGGTGCCCACCACCACGCCTGGCTAATTTTTGTATTTTTAGTAGAGATGGGGTTTCACCATGTTGGCCAGGCTGGTCTCAAATTCCTGACCTCAGGTGATCTGGCCTCCTCAGGCTCCCAAAGTGCTGGGATTACAGGCGTGAGCCACCGTGCCCAGCCATAATGTCTCCTTTTTCATCTCTGATTTTATCTGAGTCTTCTCCCTTTTTTTCTTAGTCTGGCTAAAGTTTTGCCAATTTTAACTTAAAAAAATAAAATAAAAACAGGCTGGGCACGGTGGCTCACACCTGTAATCCCAGCACTTTGGGAGGCCAAGGCGGGCAGATCACCTGAGGTCAGGAGTTCAAGACCAGCCTGGCCAACATGGTGAAACCCCATCTCTACTAAAAATACAAAAAAATTAGCTGGGCATGGTGTTGGGCACCTGTAATCTCAGCTACTTGGGAGGCTGAGGCAGGAAAATCACTTAAGCCCAGGAGGCGGAGGTTGGAGTGATCCAAGATTGCGCCATTGCACTCCAGCCTGGGTGACAAAAGTGAGATTCCATCTCAAAAAAAGACAACAACCAGAAAACCCCAACTTTTTGTTTCATCGATCTTTTGTATTATTTTATTCATTTCAATTTTATTTATTTCTGCTGTGATCTTTATTATTTCTTTTCTCCTACTAAAACTGGGTCTGGCTTGCTGTTGCTTTTCTAGTTCTTTAAGGTGCATTGTTTGTTTATTTGAAGTCTTTCTTCTTTTTGGATGTAGGCACATATAGCTATAATCTTCCTTCTTACTACTGCTTTCACTGTTCTCCATAGGTTTTGGCATGCTGTGTTTCCATTGTCATTTGTTTAAAGAAATTTTTCAATTTCCTTCTTAATTTCTTCATTGACCCACTGGTCATTTAGGAACATATTTTTAAATTTCCATGTATTTGTATAGTTTCCAAAATTCTTGTTATTTATTTCTGGTTTTTTTTCATTGTGGTTACAGAAAATGCTTGATATTACTTCAATTTTTGACTTCCAGTTTTAGGACTTTTGTGACCTAACATATGGTATACCCTTAAGAATATTCACATGCTGAAGAGAAGAATGTGTATTCTGTAGTTGTTGGGTGAAGTGTTCTCTAAATGTATATTAGGTCCATTTGGTTAATAGGGCAAATTAAGTCTGGTGTTTCTTTGTTTATTTTCTGTCTGGAAGATTTGTCTCTGCTGAAAGTGGGGTGTTGAAGTCTTCAGCTATTATTGCATTGGAGTCTATCTCTTTCTTTAGCTCTAATAATATTTGCTTTCTATATCTGGGTGCTCCAGTGTTGGGTACATATATATTTACAATTGTTATACCCTGTTGCCAAATTGATCCCTTTATTATGATACAGTAACCTTTCTTGTCTCTTCTTATAGTTTTTGTCTGTAATCTATTTTTTCTTAAAGAGGTATAGCTACTGCACTTTTTTTGGTTTCCACTGGCATGGAATATCTTTTTCCATCCCTTTATTTTATGTCTATGTGTCTTTTTAGGTGAAGTGTGTTTCCTGCAGGCAACAGATCATTGGGTCTTGTATTTTTTGGGTTTTTTTTTTGTTTTTTTTTTTTTGAGACGGAGTCTCGCTCTGTCGCCCAGGCTGGAGTGCTGTGGCGCAGTCTCCACTCACTGCAAGCTCCGCCTCCCGGGTTCACAACATTCTCCTGCCTCAGACTCCCGTGTGGCTGGGACTACAGACGCCCACCACTGCGCCCGGCTAATTTTTGTATTTTTAGTAGAGACGGGGTTTCACCGTGTTAGTCAGGATGGTCTCGATCTCCTGACCTCGTGATCCGCCCATCTCGGCCTCCCAAAGTGCTGGGATTACAGGCGTGAGCCACCGCGCCCCCGGCCGGGTCTTGTATTTTTTATGCATTCAACCACTCTGTGTCTTTTGATTGGAGAGTTTAGTCCATTTACATTCAATGTTAATATTGATCAGTAAAGACTTACTGCTGCCATTTTGTTATTTGTTTTCTGGCCTTCTCTTCCTTCTTTCCTTCCTTCCTGTGTTTCTTTTAGTGAAGGTAACTTTCTCTGATATGATTTAATTTCTCACTTTTTATTTTTTGTTTCCATTGTGTGTTTGTTGATTTGAGGTTACCATGAGGCTTGCAAATACTATCTTGTTTTGTTTTGTTTTGCTTGTTTTTTTGAGGTGGAGTCTCCCTCTGTCACCCAGGCTGGAGTGTGGTGGTGCAATCTCCGCTCACTGCAACCTCTGCTTCCCAGGTTCAAGTGATTCTCCTGCCTCAGCCTCCCGAGTAGCTGGGACTACAGGCGCATACCACCATACCCGGCTAATTTTGTATTTTTAGTAGAGACAGGGTTTCACCATGTTGGCCAAGCTGGTCTCAAACTCCTGACCTTAAGTGATCCACCTGCCTTGGCCTCCCAAAGTGCTGGGATTACAAGCATGAGCCACCGCGCCTGGCCGCAAATAATATCTTATAACTCATTATTTTAATCTGAGAACAACAACACTGTTTGCATAAGCACAAAAGCAAAAAGAAAACTAATAAAAACTCTACACCTTAAGTTTGTATCCCTGCTTTTTACTTTTTGTTGATTCTATTTATATCTTGTGCTATGTCTTGAAAAGTTGTTGTAGTTACTATTTTTCATTGGTTCATCTTTTTGTCTTTCTACTTCAGATACAAGTAGTTTATACAGTATAGTTACGAGGTTATAATATTCTGTTTTTTTCTGTGTACTTACTATTACCAGTAAATTTTGTAGCTTCAGATGATTTCTTATTGCTCATTAATGGCCTTTTCTTGTGTCCAGTAAATTTTGTACCTTCAGATGATTTCTTATTGCTCATTAATGTCCTTTAGCATTTCTTGTAGGACAGGTCTGGTGTTGGTGAAATCCTTCACCTTTTGTCTGGAAAAGTCTTTATTTCTCCTTCATGTCTGAAGGATATTTTCACCAGATATGCTACTCTAGGGTAAAAGTTTTTTTCCTTCAGCACTTTAAATATGTCAAGCCATTCTCTCCTGGCTTGTAAGGCTTCCACTGAGAGGTCTGCTGCCAGATGTATTGGACTTCTTTGTATGTTTCATTTCTCTTGCTGCTTTTAGGATCCTTTCCTTATCCTTGACCTTTAGGTGTTTGATTATTAAATGCCTTGAGGTAGTCTTTGGGTTAAATCTGCTTGGTATTCTTTAACCTTCTTGTACTTGGATATTGATACCTTTCTCTAGGCTTGGGAAATTCTGTTATCCCTTTGAATAAACTTTCTACCCCATTTTTTTCTCTACCACCTCTTTAAGGCCAGTAACTCTTAGATTTGCCCTTTTGAGGCAATTTTCTAGATCTTGTAGGCATGCCTCATTCTTTTTTATTCTATTTTCTTTCATCTCTTCTGACTATTTTGTTTTGTTTTGTTTTGTTTTTTGAGACAGAGTCTCACTCTGTTGCCCAGGCTGGTGTGCAATGGTGTGATCTCAGCTCACTGCAACCTCCACTTCCTGGGATCTAACAATTCTCCTGCATCAACCGCCCAAGTAGTTGGGACTACAGGTGTCCGCCACCATGCTCAGCTAATTTTTGTATTTTTAGTAGAGATGGGGTTTCACCATGTTGGCCAGGCTGGTCTCAAACTCCTGAACTCAAGTGATCCACCTGCCTTGGCCTCCTAAAGTGCTAGGATTACAGGCGTGAGCCACCATGCCCAGCCCAGACTGTGTATTTTCAAATAGCCTGTCTTCAGTTCACTAATTCTTCTGCTTGATCAATTCTGCTATTAAAAGACTCTTATGCATGGGCCACATATGGTAGCTCATGCCTGTAATTCCAACACTTTAGGAGGCCAAGGCAGGTAGATCACTTGAGGCCAGGAGTTCCAGACCAGCTTGGCAAACATGACAAAACGGTCTCTACTAAAAACACAGAAAATTAGCCAAGTGTGGTGGCACATGCCTGTAATCCCAGCTACCTGGGTCGCTGAGGCACAAGAATTGCTTGAACACAGGAGGTGGAGGTTGCAGTGAGTCGTGGGATCACACCATTGCACTCTAGCCTGGGCAACAGAGTGAGACCCTGTCTCAAAAAAAAACTCCAATGTGTTCTTCAATATGTCACTTGCATTTTTCAACTCTAGAATTTCTGCTTGATTCTTTTAAATTATTTCAATCTCTTGGTTCAATTTATCTGATAGAATTCTGGATTCCTTCTTTGTGTTATCTTGATTTGAGTTTCCTCAAAACAGCTATTTTTGACTTCTCTGTCTGAAAGGTCACATACCTCTCTCTCTCCAAGATTGGTCTCTGGTGCCTTATTTAGTTTGTTTGGTGACGTCATGTCTTCCTGAATGGTGTTGATGCTTGTAGATATTCATCAGTGTCTGGGCATTCAAGAGGCACGTATTTATCATAGTCTTCACAGTCTAGGCTTATTTGTACCCATCCTTCTTGGAAAGACTTTCCAGGTATTCAAAAGGACTTTGATGTTGTGATCTAAGCAGTCTCTGCATTAGGGATCACCCCAAGCTCAATAACACTCTGGTTATTGCAGACTCATAGAGGTACTGCCTTGGTGGTGTTGGATAAAATCCAGAATTATCTGTATTACCAAAGACTCTTGTTCTCTTCTCTTACTTTCTCCCAAACAAATGGAGTCTCTCTCTCTGTGTGGTGGGCCACCTGGAGCCGGGGGTGGGGTGACATAAGAACCCCTCTGGCCACCGCCACTGGTACTTCACTGGGTGAGACCTGAAGCCAGCACAGCACTGAGTCTCGCCTAAGGTCCTTGTATCCACTATGTGACTACCGCTCATGTTCACTCAAGGGCCTGGGGGCTCTGCAGTCAGCAGATGGCAAAGGCAGACAGGCCTGTCACCTTCCCTGTAGGGTGGCAAGTTCCCCATGGCCCCAGTGGGTCCAAAAATGCCATCCAAATGCCAGGGACTGGTGTCAAAAACCTCTACGTGTTCTATTGTTC